GCACTCTTGTAGCAATTAACCAGTTTCAACTAAAGTATCTGTTTAAGGTCCTGAGGGAAAGGGACTGATATTGTTTTGCTTGATCTTTATACACATGGTTAATTCTGTCGAAATAGTGGTGAAAACAGCTTTGATAAATTAGGACCGAAATCTGTTCATTATATTGTCTAATGTCTATTTACTTTCGGAAATAGCATTGAAAAGTACTGCCTGTTATTACCGATGAATTATTCATCTATTCGAAAACTGCGAAATTATACCATGAGATGTTAATATTTTATTTTTATTTTTATATTTTAATATTATATCCACAAAACTTTCGTTCACTAAGCTACTATTACGTATTGTTTTTTTTTTCTTTTTTGTTTACGAAATTCCATGAGAGCAGACAAAGCCAGCAAAGCTTTTCTGATATTCTCACGACACAGTACCAACGCTTTTTTTTCCAGAAACAAATATTTTGTTTTCAAGCATTTCTTACAGATCTCAAGGTTTCCAGATTTCTGGAAATTAGCAAATTGGTACCAGTATAAAACAAACACAGGCTCGTGACTCACTGGACAGTTTGTTGGCAACTTTTTATCCGACGATGACCTATTGCAGAAAAGTTATAATAATATTACATAAAAAATACAAATGCAATCTAATTTATGAATTTTGATGAAAAGATTCTTGTAAGATTTTGACCGAGGTATTAAGGTTAATTCCTTATACAAATTTTATACTGAAACAATACTACCATCAGCCTCTTTTTTTGCATTCCTGTTTGACAGAAAAAAAATATTTGAATATTTTTCTGAGACAAGGCTGCTAAGAGAATCAATATGTAACTATTCATCTTTAAAGTTTACTATTACTATAACAAATCAACATACTTTTCATCATCCGCCAATCATGTAATTTTTTAGATATGTACCTCTGTAGCAGACACATGTAAATATGTAAGCCAAGTTAGCCGCTCATTTGCAGCCCAAGTTACGCATTTGATCTTCAGTGCTAGTCTAACTGTGACAGGTAGTCACCATCACGCCAACCCATTTGTCCTTTCAAGTGCACTGGATCCAGCAAGGTACACAATTGTCAAGGATTGATGTAGATAGATGTAAATAACTGACGACGAATAGTGAAAAACTTGTATCTATCAAGCCTGAGAGTTTTCTATTCTTAATGAGTCTTTTTAAAAGACAAAGACAAATACACAACATACACAAGACAACAAAGAAATGTTTTTGCCTTTGAGAACAAATAATTAAGAGTCGAGCACTCAGACTAGTTAGATTCTAGTTTTGCAATACATGAAATCAACAGTTATATACATACATAATCCTAAAGTATACAATGATAACATTCTATTTTAAAGAAGGTTACTTAGTGCGAAATACTTTTAAAGACACGAATCGGAAGGAAACATTAGTGTTCTACCTAATTATTTAATTACATATCTCAAGATTATTCAGTATCATGTTTATAAATTATATATGTTGATATAAAATAACTTAATGAAATACATATTTTTCGTTCCGAAAATATAACCGGTAGTTCTTAGCATTACTGTAGCTCATTTAAATTGTTATTGAATATAATGCGCTGTTGCTCATATCGATATTCTTAAACATATAACATTCTTTTAACTTGCTCCTTTTAGTGTTTATAATATATTTCATGGCCTACTTAGCATAAGAAATCTTTCTTTACGAACTGCGTACATATTGTTTTCAGTCATACTATTCCATTTCCGTATCGTGTCTTACAGAAACGGCATCCACATGCATGGAGATTCCTCATGTGATGTTTCTTACTTTGAGTACAGTCAGCGACCGTCTCTAGAAGCATGATCAGTTGTATGTAGCAGAGTATACTTGCATTATTTCATCTTACATCTAGTATGCATCCAACATAGATCCCATTCATCCATACGCTTCTGTCGTTCTACAGCCATTGACGCGATAGGTTTTCGTACATTAAAGGGTTTTATCAAAAGAAAGAAAACACGCATTATTTGAAAGATTTTATAGAAAACGACTGTATGCTTGACGTTAGGACTTCCAGCGAAGTAAAACAGGCTTTTGGATATTTTAAATATGATAGTAAAGAGAGACAAGCATAGACCTGAGAAGAAACCCCTTAAACTATGGTCTACATACCACGTGCATGATTCTGTTTTAGATGTATTATGCAAATGATTCGATACTGACATACACAACGACATATTACAATGAGTAGGAAACGGCAAACAAAAGGCAAACAATCAATTAGACAAACACAAAACATATCGCCCAAATGTTTTTTTTTTGTTTATGCCTTTTACTACCGTCTTCTTAGAAAGGTCATTCTACTGGCTCTTATCTTTGTTTTAGTATGTGTGAAGTCCCCAAAAATCATTTTACTGGCTCTTCTCTTTATTTTAGTCTTGGTGAAGTTCCCAAAGACTATTTTACTGGTTTTACTATGTGTGAAGTCCGTATATAATTTGCTCCTAATATAATGAGTCTTAGATCTCATGTACTGTGTCCTTTATGAACGGACTAAGGACTCGTTTGGGCTGGTGTTTCCAGATTTCAATATTGAGAGACCAATGGTAATTAAATACATCCCCTGAGATGGAATAACTGATTTATCACACAATGTATGCAAGCAATTAACTTTCGTAGAGATATAATGGATAAAAACCTTATTCATTTTACAAGTTCACTTACAGAGAACCCCGTATACAGATTATCCGCCTACATGTCGTCATTTGCAAACAATCTGTACAAGCTCTAATACTTATATTACAGTCACCCAAAGGTCACACTCTGCTAAAACAAGTGTATTGGAAATTCCAAAATCTAATCTACATTTGACTGATACTAATCACGAAAGAGATTCGTGGTCATTTAACACATCTGCAGAACTGTGACTACGTCCAGAATTCAGTTAGGACAGACTTCTGCTACAAGACTGGGTAATTAGCATCTGATGAAACAAAGATTACTTCGGATTGACATACCAGATTCATTATATCTTACCAAATTGCAGTGTGTGTGTGTGTGTGTGTGTGTGTGTCAAAGAAATACGGAATATTCTGATGTCATCGATATATTGTACAATCTGCTTCATTACTTTGAACCTTTGCCAATCTTGACAATAAATCTTTTTATTTTGACGTACACCTCCCCCAACAGAAGAACAACTTTTTGAAGATTTCATTAAGTTCCATAAACTATTATTGAAAATGGGGCAGCTACAAAAATGTATATCTGACGGCAGTAAAGCCACCATAAAACGAGGTCTCAAATTTCGAGAAAGGCAATGGAGGCTCTTAACAAACTTCATTGAAAAATGAAAGACAAGTTGGAGATTTCCGAGAGGTAATTGCGATAGAAAACACGAGTCAAATTAATAAAAGAAATACATGGATAAATTGTAGTGTTTCCAGACAAAAGTATGGATAAAAGAAAACATTCTGCTTCTCCATATGGTAAGGCTTAAATTCAGACATAGTGCCATTTTTAGGATTATGATTCTTGCCCATGTGAAACTTTTAAGTACTTATGTACTTAAATGTTAAATTACTTATGTTTTGAAGAAATGAATCTTTTACATTTGTTTTCATGATTTTAGATTACGCAAATCACGTTTGCTATAGTTTACCGTTGATGTCTAGAAAATAATTTTAAATTTATATAATTAGTACTAACATCATAGTGGGAAAACATTTTAAAATTTTTATTACAGTAATACATGAGGTCGTATTAACAGTTTCTATGGAATACAAAACTGATATGTTAATCTAAATATTTGCTTAATTCAATAAGTGAATACTTTTAATTCCTTATTTAAGCAACTATTTATCACCTGTAATGTGTACATAGGTGTACAGTGAAAAACCACTTTATAGAGTGGATTATCTCTTTATTTGATATCTGTCGGTCTTATGAAAACACAAATGAAATTAATATAATGTTTATATGTTAATAATAATAATAATAATAATAATAATAATAATAAGAAGAAGAAGAAGAAGAAGAAGAAGAAGAAGAAGAAGAAGAAGAAGAAGAAGAAGAAGAAGAAGAAGAAGAAGAAGAAGAAGAAGAGGAAGAAGAAGAATAAGAAGAAGAAGGGGACGAATTATTATTATTATTATTATTATTATTATTATTATTATTATTATTATTATTATTATTATTATTATTATTATTATTATTTCCTATAGATAGGAGCACATCTAATGTTTGTCTCATAATACGTTATAAAATGGCTGAGTCGAAGTTTAAACGCTATGAAAATATTATGCTCAGTTGTGCCACATGTCAATGTAGTTCACTAATATTTATGATAACAACATAGTATTTTTGACATTATGATGTGAACAAGATTCGGGAGTTTACAAACACAGAGGCCTATAGTGTATTAAGCTGTATTGGTCTCCGGCACCGTGTTCGGATAGATTCTGAACTCGTTAATTAATTAAGGTGAATGTGTGAATGATTTCGAGTTTAGACGGTAATAATCAATAACAAAAGCTGCCCCGTATTGTTATTGCGATATGTTGATTGATGTGAACTGAAAATGAAATTTAATATGACTTTTTGAGAGTCGAGGGAGTTTATGTCATGCTGATGCTTGTTGTTATCAGAACTGTTTTGTTTTTTAAAATGTGATTGTATTTAGCTGAAAGAATCAGTTTCATACAACTGTTGTTTCATGTCACATCGACTCAATATTGTTTGATGAAAAACGTTGTGCATAAAGCTGATTAGGAACAGTCTATTTGAATAACATGTAATTATATGAATATTTGACGATTTACGCCCTTTAGAAATTTAGAAATGCACTGCTGTGTTAAATCAATAGTTGAATCTGTTATACATGATTTGTCTTCATAAAAACGACAAACGCTGATCACGGTCACCCCTACTGCCACTCCATTTGTATTATTCCATTTTCTCGTGTGTCCTAATAGCAGTAATATTACTGGTAGAGAAATCAAGTATAACATTGTGACTTTCATGCATCAGGACCACTCTGGTGGCATAGGGGTTAGAGCATCCGCCTCATATGCGGGACGTGGCGGGTTCGAACCCCGACTAAGTCAAACCAAAGACTTATACAAATTGTGCTATATATATATATATATATATATATATATATATATATATATATATATATATATATATATATATATATATATAGTACATAAAATATTTCAAATAATTATTTATGAAACAAACGTCGGCAGTTTCACTTTTTGAAACCGCTTCCCTTAAATTTACGTATGTATTTGGGTGGAGTCTAAATGCTGAATTTATTATTATATCTTGTCCTGAGTCACATATTTCATGCAAATGGTAGACGAACCTGTTTCTAATACAACAATGAACTCTTGAACTTCAACAGTTGATTATACGAAAGAATGCAAATTTAGTATTTTCAAAGGAGTATTCTCATCCGTGTTTAAAGCGTTAATAAGAGGTCTTCAAACACGCAAATGGTAGCACAAATTTGGTGGAAGTTTCGTGTTTTTAGAACTCTAGTGGGAACACTTTAACGCTTTTCTTGATGGTCCAAAGCCAATTTTTGATTATGAGATTTATCTTTCCGGTTTCCCTATATGCCGTGTTAGTAACTTGTGCTGATGTATTCATTATGCCTATATCGAAGCTACAGAGGATGATAGATGTTTGTGTCGAATGAATAATTGATACATTTCATCAAGTGGCTGACATTTAGCCCACTCAATAGAAACACATTTTCAAATTATTTTATTCTCAACCGTTTTAGCTACGTAATGTGTATAACAGATAGAAGTAGCAGATTTTCTACGGTATTATCAACTGACATGTTACGTGTTGTTTGTACATATAGTTATAGAACATATGAGTTGCAACATAATTCTTGTTGATAAAGTTCAGCATATCAAAAAGTTTGAAGAAAATAATTGAATAAAAGTACATTCAAAGTGAAATTTGTATTAGATAAGCGATTTAGTACAAGGTCAATGATATTATCTGCTTATGATGTTATCGCTTCCATTGAAAGTTAATCTTTTGGAGTGAAGAAAATGATTATACAAATATTTCTCTTTCAAAATCCATGAAATCACCATGTATAATGGAACAAATTTTTATTTTGTTAAATATAGAACTTGGTGAAAAAATTGTTCGAATATAAAATATAGAATGCATATAATAGAGGATATATGCATGAGTTCCATCGCATCATATTCTGGAATATGGATTCATAAATAGCGTTCTCTTAGCTTCAGCAATATTTGGATATAGACAGGTGTACAGTATTGCCGAACAAGAACAGTTCGGAAGGGAAGAAATCCATGATAAAACTAAAATGGGGAAAAAAACGTGTGTTTGTAGTGTAAAGCGTCAGATGTAATTACATTGCAACATGTCAGGCGCATTACAGCAGCGCACGCACAGGATTAAAAATAGTTAATATCGTGGTTTTGACCTTCATAAACATGACGAAACTATAAAGCTCCATACAGGACAGGTCCTTCTCTTGCAAAATCCAAATTTCGATTAAAAACCATAACGTATCACATCACGAAACACTCAATATATCTTTGCCATCAGTCCATGGTAGCAGACGTTACATCTACTTCACAATAAAAATGTTTTATATCTTCTTAAATTCTTTTACTAGTTTCTAATCTATCACAGTTAAAATTATCTCATTTCACCCTTATTACTTACTCAAAAATATGAACTTACTCCTCAGCATACCACATTAACAGGCCCTTTAAATCTTTTATGGAGTTATTTAAGACTGCATTTATGAAAGCAACCAAAGAAATTTTAATACGCTTAAATCTTGCTAAAAGATCCAAAGAAACGATTTCGCCACAATTCTTTTTGGAGTTAATACTGCATGACTAATCTACCTGTACATCCAGCTGCATCTGCCTTCACAAAGAAACATCAGAATCAAATAATTTCAAAATATGCATCATCCAAATGGCATGCTAGTTATCTGATTTATTAGCATAACTTTTTGTATTACAAACGTTGCTAGAGTATCGAACCGCTCGTATTCCGTCCGTTTAACTCCTACGGGAGCAAACCGTATGCCCGAGCTTGTTTCAATTGTCCTATTTGTTTATTTGTAATTTATTTATTACATGTCTACTAAGTACAAAAGCCAACAAGAAAAATAAATGAAGTGATATAAATGTGATAATACAGGCGACACTTGTGGTTCAAATTCGAGCAAAAATATCGGCTTGCAGTAGCCATGAACTGACCTTAGTTAACATGATTCACTGAGCACAGATAGAATTGACCAGAGATTCCTCAGCACTTCACTATTACAGTTGGCACTTTTGTTTCTCTTGGAATAACTCAGTGCATAACTTGCCTGCCTAAAAACGTAAGATTCGAATCCTACTATCAAATAAGCCTGGTCCAGCAACCTCAATGTCTCATTGGGCAAGTAACTTTTCTTCAAATTGTCAGAACAGTATTGTTGTTGATGGGCTTACCGCCTTTTTTCATCACACGATAGGCTATTCATGGCGGCCAGTATTAATGGTGGAGGAAGAAACCGGGAAATCACCGGAAAGAACCACCGACCCAGTAGAAACTACTGGCAAGCTTTCTTACATATCCACATTCGCCGAATCCTAGAATCTTCAAATTGTCTGAATATTAAATAATTACTAAATCAAACCGTTCCTTTTGGACTCTTTCCGCAGAGTATTTTTTAACTACACAAAATAATCATCACCAAAACACTGACAATGTACCTTGAAATCAAAGGTGATCTAATGATGAATAGAGCTTCTTAATTGATCTTGTACTTTCGCTCTTAACGTATCTCGGTCTTCCGAATGTGCCGTCAACGTTCCTGTATTTTGACAATTCGGGGTTAACTCTGGTGTGACAAAACAAAGAGGTCCTTTGGAAGATTCACTTCTTTCCTCAACATCAGATTAGTCAGGGTGAATCCAGAAGATGCCTGCTAAGTCATTATCGTAAGAGTAATATACCGGTTCCAGTTTTCTAGTTTATCGTTAAAGTGTGTTGATAGTATATGCCACTGCATTTGGTTGCATTGTTCATACATCCCATTGTTCTGAGGGTGACAGGAATAAGTTTGATTTTAAACACGATACAAAGTTCTTCAAATACAAGGTTGTGCTCTATAAGTATTATAAAGATAACTTTTCTTACTGCCACTGGCACTGTGCTAATTGCCATCATTCTAGTTCAAGATCCAAAGCAAACTACTATTATCACTAACCGATTTGTATATGTCTGACAAAACAATTTGTCTTGAAATAACGAATAGTAGTTGGCCTGAGGTCAAAATTAATAGTTCCGGTTCAGTACCCATGAATGTAGTACAGGTGTATTTTAGATCATTTTTTGGTCTCCATTTAGTGGTGATACAAGAGATAGATTTAGGCATTCTTGGTAAGGATTTAAAGACAATTGATTATTCTTTAGACTATGAGCTTATGGTATGGTTGATGTAGTGCGGCATTGTGGCGTAAATGCTATTATGAGAATTCTCATGATCCACTTTTCTTTATGCATTATTCATTGCTAATGGTATGTGTTTATGTACATTCTAAAGATGACATAAAAATTATTCAAACAGATTATTTGAATTTAATTTTGTAAAATTAATCTTAACATGGTTGTATGGCTGAAACGAACGAATATGCATCTATTGTAGAATGTTTGGGATCACACGTTGATAGTTAGAACATCACATAGGCTGACATTGTACCTATAGTGAATCTGTAAGGTTCAGTTCTGGCTGTGTGAACTTCAAATATCCCAAGATGTTATTTTCGTCATGAATATGCCTCTGTTTGGTAACATATTTCAATTTGGTTCACTGACAAAATATGGTATTTCAGCATCAGCTGATATCAGATTCCATGGAATCAATGAGCTTCATAACTGGTAACAAACACTTAAAATAGACTAAAATTGTTCAAATTATATTCACACATGTGATTTTAACAAGTACATTGCATATGCCCCACACATGTAAATGTCCATCCTTGGTGACAAGTTTTGGGGATCAAAATTTCACATTTGGTTAATAATATAGGATTTATTGGTACCTATATTTCATATATGTGGTCACCTTTGGCTGTATTCACTCGCAATATCCAAAATTGTTATTTTGCTTATGAATAAAATTCCTTGTATCAATAGATTTTAATGTGGTAAATTGTCATTTGACTTTCTAGTATACTGATATGAACTAATGTTTGCTCCATTGATCAAACATCACTGTTCCAATTTTGCTGTAACTTTATGATATATTCTTTACCTGATTATTTATTTTACCTGTTAATGGATAAATATGCTTGTAGAAAGCTCATCTCTTTTAGGATGCATGATTTTAACACATACTCATTGCTTCACCTTTCTGAGTGCCACTCTGTCAAATTTATTATTTTCCCCATATTTGCAACCTGAATGTAATTTTGAAATCACCGTATCTAAAACAGTTTCACTTCATTCGCCTACATCTTACAATTTTATAGAATTAATTGAAACATGTAATATATTTTCAGGTCTAGCCTGGCATCTGGAACAAAGTGTTAGAGTTGGATTAGTTCGAAAGCTCTCCAGTAGTCCGGTGGTGATAACTTTTCATAAAGGACATGTACAGTGTACTGCTATATGTGACCAAGATTAATTCATAACATCACAATGATATACAGCACCTCAAAGACATGGCTTTGATAGTCATGAGAGAGATTCACACGATTTTTCAGAAAGGTGGAACATCCCTGAAATTGTATTTTCCTATCTCATTGTTGACTTGTGTAGTTATCAGCATTAAAATTTAATGCATTTTTGCTATAAAACATGGTAGTGGCACCCATCAAAACTTTAAATTTGAGTGGGCTATTAGTTACAAATAACTGCTCAAGTACTTGACAGTAAATGTGAAATATAGCACCTGTCATTGTTTTTTTAGTGTGTACTTCTAAATGCATCTAGATAGGCATATTACAATTTCCTGCTGAAATCACTGTGAGCTTCAGTACCCCTGAGAAAAATGTTATCAGTTATGCAGACTTAAACTAAAGTTTTGTTTTAAATAACATTCGTT